ATAACTTCTCCATTTATGCAGCTAGAAACATGAAATTTCACAATATTTTCACTAATTACCAACAGCAAGTTTACAGGTAAATTAACATAGATCGGGTCACTGTAACCTATTTATATTCTCCATAAAACTGATTGTTCAGATATGGGGTTTTACTGTTAAACTCATTTTTTGGACCGCTATAACAGATCAATTTCGTAAGCTATTCTATAAATAATAATACAAAGTCTACTGAGAAAATCGTCAAAATCTATGCTGTATAAGCTTTATCTCTTATACCTCTGATTATTCAGATACCAGTTATTACGATATATCTCCTCTATGTAGGAGTCTAAAGCCATTAAATTGTGTTACCGGTTTACATACCGGTCACACAGCAGTGAACTTAGATTGCTGCTATATAAGGTATATCATCCATACCTCTGATTGTTTAGATATGGTTTTTTTATAAATGTATCTCTATCTATGTATTCTGTAAATATATAATTTTTTTCAAATGCAGTAATCTATTAAAGTAAAATTTTCAGATGCTCATGAAAGGTATGAAGCCTTCGGCATAGCCGAAGACAGCGGTCCCCTTACTTGTTTTTGTTTAAATTATAAAGAACCCGCCTATTAACCTTTTTCGTTTCCGAACTCGTAGGTTTGCAATTTCGGCACGACGAAATGAAGAGCTGTGAATGTTCCAATAAATAATTGCGGCATTGTTGTAATTTTTTCGGAACAGATTCGCACCGTCAGAATCGCACATGTGTGTTGATGCCTTATATGGACCTTACATGGTCACATTGTTTGATCAAACTGTCTTCTGTGTAATTAGATGGTTTAACTTACACGCTTCAAAAAACCCATCAAATTTCAGCTTTTCGTTTTGGATGAAGTTGAAGAGAAGCTTAAGAAAGTTTTGTATTCATTTGTTAATACTAATACTAAATCGTATACTTTATCCTTGTTCAATTATGTGTTTTTGTTTAAATTATTGTTCACATATATGTCTGTGTAATTAGATGGTTTGACTTAAACACGTCAAAAAACCCATCAAATTTCAGTTTTTGTTGAAGTTGTATCACCACAAAAAAGATATATCTATATAAGTTTATCTCATTATATCTAACTGAACGTTCCATGGAAGATGTTTGAAATAGACATAAAACCACCCCTGTTTACCACGTAGCGGTAGTTTTTGGAAAGGTGAAAAAACTATATCGAATACTTGCGCCGGGTATTTAATGTTCGGCTCCGCCTGAACTTTGATTTTTTTAATTGTTGTTTGTTAATTTCGAATTGACTTTTGTTCGACTTTTTTGTATTTGATTACGAAAACGAAATCGAAATAGAGATGCCGTTTTAAAATCGATGTAATCGGAGATTCGATTTTTTGCTCCGATCCGAGAATCGTCATTCAATTATTCCTAAATTGATGCCGAATGCACCATGTGTCCAGTAACCTACCTTTCTATGCCTTAATGCTACAATAACGGCTATCTCTCGAGCAATTGTGTCAAGCGGAGGCAAATGTAAAATCGCATTCAGAGCTTTAGTAGGTGAAGAGCATAGAGCTCCGCTTGTGCAAAGCTTCGCACTCCTTTGTACACTTGGGAGTTGTTTAAAGTGAACTAAAATTTTCTGTGATAACGCTCCAATAAAAATGGAAATGTAATTTTAACACATATGGCATCTAGTTTTATTTCGTTGAATTTCCAATGTTTTACACCGTTTAGTGCAATTTGTGAAAAAAAATTTTTTGAGTTGAGTTTTTGGGATTTGTTTGCAGATAACAAAGCGAAGCTCAATTTTTCGCATTTCGAAGGCAAAATTGAAAAAAAAAGAAACTGAAATGTAGGCACTGCTGAATTTACAATTGTTGGTAGCTCTCATGGAAATTTGAATCGTCATATAAAAGCCAAACATCCTTTCGTGATTTTGCAGAAAGACGAGGGAATGAAGACGATTGAATTGTGTAGTTATTGCAGAGGATCATGGATATTTAGAAAAATGTTCTTTTTATTTTACAGACTAATTCAATCTTTTACTTGTATATGAATGTGTTATAAAATATACATTTTTGTTATTCTGTGACTCAGCTCCTACTACCGAAGCAGTTTAATTAGTTGAACTAGAATTCACTAAGATGAACGAACTAAGACTCAGACGAGCTAGCTCAACGAGCTAAATGAACTACAAGTGAACAAATCTTGAAAGTGAGCTAAAAAAATCCAACTCTAGTAAATAGTATAATGGAAAGCGCTAGATTGTTTTTGCTCTAAAATTATCTGGAGTACGTTTACTGGGGAAACGGATAGCTGCAAGGATTTGGTCGAAAGGCCGCAAGTGCATATACTTCCTATCATAAAATGAGACCTTGAGAAATAAAACTCAAAATGAGATCGCAGTATACACACATATTTACATATGTAAATGCAAAAGATATAAAAATAAATTAAAAAAACAATTGAAAAACGATTTATATATAAATATGTATGTCACAATATTATAATTTAAAATTTTTATAAAGCATCCTTAGATGTGGCTCATTACTGTTACATAAATGAGAAACGTTAAAAACCCCTGCAAACCAAAGTTCCCGAAATCTTAAGGAAATCGTTAGGAGTATCTCATTTCTGGAACGATTTTCTACGAATTTTCAAAGAAAATTATATCAAGTGGTTGACACGAACTCGTAAAGAAATTTCTGTACGAAAAATAAAGAAAATTCTGAAAGATATTCTTCACATAGCAGCAATATTTTCGTTGCTTCACAGATTTTCTTCCGAAATTTCGTAAAAGAATGGAAGTGTGCGTAATTTATTTCATTTTAGAAAATTCGGCAAAAAATCGAATTAAATCTTAACGAATTCTTTAAAATTTCTTTACAATGCAGAATACTCTGAAAAAATGGTTTGCAGGGACGTTGCTTTCACCATGATAAAAACATAGCAAGGTAGAACCGTTCTCTCAATTTGTCGGCCATGATTTTTTTTTGAAGCTT